CACATCGGAAAAGCGACAAATGTTATTCAACACAGAATGTACGAAACTGGACATCACTGTGAAAAGTGGCAATCGATATACTGTGCGAAGTAGCTTGGAAGTAACTACTTCCGCTTCTGCTTGTACTGTCTTTTCAAATTATTATGCTTTCTTATTGAGAAAGTATTCTCATGCATATCTGCTCATTTGATGGTTGCATTTATTACCTTTGAAATGCTTCCAAATCATCATGCGAGAAGCTTCCAATTCCCTTAATATTATAAGCTTTACATCAAACTTGACGCAATCACAGATGATTTGTAGAAAAACATTTTGCTTCTGAATGTGTAAGTATCTATTTCGATCCACAGTCGTTTCATATCGTCGACATTTCTTCCTGGGTTAACTTGGTAAATGTAGATTTTATGAATATTGTGACTTTAGGCTCGTCTATTCAAGTAAAAAATTGATGAATAAGGCTATGGGCTTGGTATGTCAACGGCTATGTACTAAATTTGCTACTTTTAGTAGCATGTCGTACTTATTTTACGTTGCAGGAACAATTATTCACTTGTCAAGTATACATATAAAGTGAAAAATAATTTTCAAGAATTTCACAAAGTAACTGATGTATGCAAGGATGTGTCATCAAAAATGTATTGCCGCTGTTTCGCTTCAATAAAGTGAATATTTTTTGTCACTAATGATATAATGGATGATTTTCAACTACATGATATGAGACTATGTGACCGCATGACGCAGAAGATTGAATATAACTGTAGTCAAAAAGTTCAGAGCAAAGAAGAATATTGTCTTCGAATTCAACTGACAACAATCATCAAAAACTACATATGTATAACCAGAAACTGTGAAATCAATAGCACAAGCAATTTCATTCTGCCTTACAAGTCAGCCACAGAAACCTTAAAATTCAGTTTATATATAAATACATCAATAACATGTAAATGAGATTTCAAAGAAAAACGTATGATCTCTAGTTATGTCATGTGAGAATTTTTATTAGGTAATGTTCAGACTGAACACCTTTTGGAAGGTTGAATTTCAGTAACGTAGATCTCCCGGTTGGAATAAAGATAAGCTGTCTTTTTTCATTTTGAAACTGGTTTACTGAACAAAACGAAGCGAATTTCACTTTACAGTCTATTATATTATCAAATATAATGCATAATTAATATAGAACTCTTAAACTTGGATGAGAGCAAGAATTCAGTGGGGGAGTAACAATACATTTACTGAAGACTACTCAAAAGTTTTCAGTACTATAGCTTCTAACCACCAGTTTCAGCTTCACTCTAGAATAAATCTTGTAAGTGTCATAGAAGATACCACAGAGTAAAATACTTTTCCATTTTAGTTGAACTAATACAACAAAAGTTAAAGTGCTATTTAATAACTTACAGAAAGTTGATATGGAAAGTATTTCCTGCAAAATTTTGACTTTTTTAAAACAGTCAACGCTAAATAAGGGAGAGAGGTCATTTGTCTTTAAAAGTCAACTTTTTATCTGTTCTCTGCGACGAAAAAGAGGAAACATACTCTTAATGATTATTTCCCAAAAGAATAGTTATCCACAGAACTTTGTTAAAATATGTCCGTTTAATTCGTCGTCAATTAAGAAGTCAAACTCGAAAATCAACAAACGGATTGTTTTAACCAACATGAAAAGTGTCTACAAGATCACCACTAGATTAGTGCAGCCTTTTGGAATCCCTCTATCTCAAAAACACACAAAATATCTTCACTCTCTCTTATACAGACAAAAAGATACAATAGCAAGGGAGGATAAAATAAACACTCTCTACAAAATAAACTACACAAGCTGAGAAAAACACTACATCAGACATAGTGATTGTCCTCTTCATATCTGTCTACATGAACATCAACTAGCGATGAAGTATCATGGCATATTTTTGTTCACATCAGTGCTTACGGAGAGATGTGGACATAGACTTGACTGGGAGAATGTGGAAATCGTGGATAGGGGAAATACAGAGAATGTCAGGGAATTTATTATAAGCTTGATATTCAGGTTAGTCAGCAATTAACAGACATATTGACATTGACACAATCTACCAACTAATATGAAAAACAAGAAACCAAAAATAGTCAGGGTTTACATCGGTAAGGCAACGAATCGAAACACATGTGGAGACAGTGAAAAGAATTTGGCAGAGACGATCAAATATACACAAGGCTATCAAGACAAGTGAATAAAACTCTATAGTCATCTTCTTTCTGAAGTTCTAGCTAATGATGTTGTCTAGAATAATGATGAAAGCTTCGCGATTAAACCATCCAGTTCAGCGAAGATAACACCATCAAATTATCATCGTAAGTTAAAAATATTCTTCATTATCTCGGTGTACTGTTCCTAGGACACATGATTACTTAGCACTTAAGAAATTTTTCAGACCTCAGTTCTGTGTCTTGAGGTATTCAACATCAATCCAAAAAATATCAGTTCACTAACTGACAGTGCTTTTGAAGAAATGTGAAGATGAATTTAAAAAGACGGTTAATTTCATTTAAAATGATTCTTGTGAAAATCAAAAATAGAAGTTCCTATGTGAATGCATGACACCAGCCCTGTAGCAGTAGTCATAGATCACTGAGGGGACTATGAGGACATAGATCACAGGGGAATTTTAAACAGTGTCCCTTGAGTTATCAAAGTAGTGCTCTGCTAACCTAACTTCAAGATCCACTTGCCGATTTGATCATAACTTCACTTCGATCACCAAGAATTTTGTTTGGTGCGATGGTTAAACCTTGATAAATTACCGTTTCTTTATCGTATTTGAACTACTTGGATGATCAGGTTATCTCACCCTAATCCAAATCGGAATAAATTAGAGAGACAGACAGCTTTTTCTGTGATCCCTGGTCAGACTACCAGTGGTAATCACGAGTTTGAAGCTTAAAACGTTTCAGATTTTCGTTTAACTTCCAGTCATCCCCTAGTAACAATAATCCCAGCTTGTCAAACCGTGGCCATCTCACATAGTTATAACATCAATCAATAGCTGTCTCTAATTCAGCTCTATTTAGATTAGGATAAGACTTGGCCGGGTAGCCGGTAGGATTACTATAACCGACTAGTGAAGTATCTTAGATCCACATAGCAGCCAGTTCAAACCTTAGATAATCGAAGTGAATTTATCAAAAAATCAGCAGCTACGTCTAGTAGATCAGTTGGTATCGTACCGAACCGGATTCCTCTCACGATCTAAGTTTTCATTTCATCTTCAGACATCATCCAGCACTATTTTTAGACAGTTGGTACATATTTTTAAAGACAAACGTATTAAATGTTTACTGACATATCATTATTGCCAAAACATTTACAATAATTTGCGATTTCTAAAGTCACTGAACAATTTTCATCTGTCAAAAACGTCTTAGATAGGGAAAGAAGTGCTGGTAACTTTTAAATTATTGTACTGCTTCCTCCTATAAGGTGAATTTTATTTGTGTAATCCCGACGTATTACACTTAAACAAATAGCAAAATAAACAAAGTTTCGATCTTACCAGGAATCTGAATCTGACATTAAGTTTTCAGGCTAATAATCCAAACCATCCAACTTATTTTTGGTCACAATAAGTTCAAACTTATTCAGTTGCCATTTTACTGATACGAATAAGTCAATATTTTAGAATTCGCACCTTCAAATGCATGACAACATCAAGGTTCTTCTATGAACACCATTTGAAAAGAGATGAAATTGACTACTTATATCACGTTAAGTCATGTTACGTGATACAATTCAAAATGCTCTAAAACGTAACGAAAGAAACACCTTCTTACGCTAGATTTGCGCCTTATATTTATATGAACTACGAGAATGAGGCTTTCAAAACAAGATATGATTATCACACAGAATCTATTAAACCGAAGTTCTTTGGTGATACATCTTCCTAATTCCTTTACAAACTGCTTCCATGACCAATGTCTACTTGAGAAAAGCAGTTTCTAAAGCTTTGATCTGTCAAAAATACTTAACATTTTAAACACAGCTAAAGAAGTTAAAAATGTCCACACTGTAGGTATTACAAGTCTCTTGGAAGCATCTGAGTATCCATTTATTCTATACTAAGTAACTGCAACATATATAAACGATAACTTAAATGCTGATAAATTCAATTTTAGTGCTGATTTTAGAGTTTGAAAGTAAGTAAACTCCTTGCTATCAAAATGAAAGTTTTAATAGATTTAATGACTGTTAAAACACATTTCGCAAAAAATTATAATATAGCATTTATCATTATGAACGTTTCAAATTTAAATGAACCGATTTCAAGTTTTTCGTAAAATTTCTGACTCATAAGCCCGTCGAAAAAGTGGTTCTACAACATACAGTATACAGAAATATCATTAGATGATAATGACTTTTAAGGTAGTATTTATCATGAACTAACATCAGTTGGATAACGACTGACAAACTAGGAGCACTTGATAGCTGTTTCGCTTCAGTATACGACTCCTCAGAAGTATCCACCCACGATCTGGCTAGGAATTAAACTTACGGTTTGAAAGTCTTGTAACGAACATCTCAACCACTCAGCCACTACTTTGGAGTTCATTGTTTCACAATCTCTTACTTTTGTTAAATAACGTTTTAGCCTAGACTGTTTTCTGAAGCTAATAAAAGCATTTTGCGACTTGGATTACTATGAAGCCTTTTAGTACCATGCGTGTAAGGGATATTCTGTGGATCTGTCAGTCAACTGTTTTCGCTGTAAAATATATTCAAATCCCAAGAAAAACTGACTAATAAACCTAGATTTCATTCACTATTTAGTGACACGGATTTATTCAGTTGTAGTCGTATTCTGGGGTCATTTTTTCTGGTTTACCTATTTCGTCAAAAGTGAATTGCTTTAAGAATCAACATGGACTAATGTATAAATTCATTTTATATCAAGTTTACGATTTCAAGAATCGGTAGGAATGTTTTGCAGTTAGCACTATAGTAAAAAGAATATCACATAGACACTCACCATATTCAGGAGATGAGCTGATTGGTATTAATTCCACTCTATGCCTCTGAATGGGTTGTGAGTAAGATCCTCGTACATAATTAGACAAATCTGGATTGGTAGAGTGTGAATCAAATAAACTAAGCATTTCTGGTGGAAATTCTGCTGTGTTAGAAATAAATAATAGGATATTTAAAAAAGTTAGAAATAAAATGGTTGTTCGTGTCTTAAAATCAATGTACAACCAAACCAAACTAGTCAGATTTTCAGATGTTAAAAACATCATAATATATACATTGAAAAAAGGATCACATTTTGCTTGGGCTAAGGTACATTACATAGTTGTTGGCCCTTTCAAAATCCTGTCATATATACTAAAAGAAACCATATTCATTTTGAAGGTGATCATCGTCGTGCCACATAGATAATGAGCTCTTTGTAATGAAAACATGAAAAGCAAGCTATTATTTTCTTTAGTATCAACCAATCAGATAGTCATTCATATTAACCAATGAAAATTGACGATTTATCAATGAATGTATTGGGTAAATATAATTTGTTCATTACTTGGCTGCTCTCTAAAAAATAAGTGAACAAACAATCAAAATTTTAACTTTCAAACAAACAAGTACATTTAAAAATAAAAGAAATGCAAAACAAAAACGTATAAGGAATTCAAGGGCAACTATGAATTTGTATATTAAAGGATTATTTTTAAGGCTTCAATAATTATTCTTCATATTTGACGTTTTGATACTTTATGGGTGGCAGTTAAAACGATAGACCACTTCAGAGTATGTTGATACTTCTGACGATTTTTCAAGTAATTAGCTGTATTGAAAGCATTCAAGATTTACGTTAGTTTCTCTGGACTTTCCTCCCAAATGCGACATTTGATTAGCACTCAACTACCAGAACTATCGCTACGCTACAGGTTTGCATGAAATGTCTCATTGTGAACGTTCAGTCGAGCGTGATTATATTATGTTTCGCAAATTTGTTTTTTTCAGTAAGACAGAACATCACGAAAACTTCAAATAATACTTAAATCTGAACAAGTGTTGTGTAGACACCAAGCGAAACTCCCGAAATATTTGTGTGCTCCCTGTACGTGAAACCAAATTTAATAAGAATCCAAAGATGCACTTAAATATTTGATGTGTTTGAGAGTAGATTATCTTTCTAAAGCAACATACTTTTAAAAACGAAAATAGACTTCTTACATAGAACCTTAGCTTTGGATAACACTCGCCTACACATAAAAATGATTCACGAAATGATGAAAGTGAAACCCAAGTCATGATAAGATTTAGACTATTGGCCTGGTAGTAGCTGCCATTTTCATTCTACCTCCCATCATCATTGTGTATCACAGATAACAGTCTGTCAGACGATAGTAGTCTCAGACAGTCCCACTCAATTAAACTAGATGCAGTTATTACCTTCAAATATTCAAACCCACTATAAGCAAAAAATCTTTTCAAAAATTATCAATCACAATCCAATCACTCTAAAACGGAAATGTTCTACGATAGTCATTGTAAAATGAGTTTGCAATTTCTTTGCGATTTGTTCACACTTGCTAGTTACCTGCTTAGGATATAATCAAGTTTTAAAATATCAGTTTTATACAACTTCAATATCATTATCAGTACAAAACTTAGCACGATTAGACGTGTTTATTTTACATACCACACAACTATTTATTATTGTTTAATGAAAGACATTTGCAACACACTTCTCATAATCTTATGCTGTGATATTACTATAAACAGTTTGTGCTTAGGACTTCACCCAGAAAATAATACTGCACACTCTGTGCTACTCCAATAGTAAAGTTAATTTTCACATCCTAGATTAGGCTTCCACCGTCTTCATTTATATGAGATAACTCAAAAAATCGTGACCCTCCGGATATTTATACAAGAATATAATTAGATAATTCACAAAGCTGTATGAGTAAATCAGTATTTTCGGTGAAACCATTTCATATGTAGACCAATAAACCTTTTAAGTCTACGACCTCAGAACTGAGCATAGTATTTCTCATATTTATGTGCATATATATATATATATACATATATATGGTGTGTGTGCGTGTGCTGAAAGTTCGATCGTTTGCGAGGTAATGTGTGCGCACTGCTGAGGAGTACCATACTAGGACAAAACAACTGTTCAGTGCTCCCAGACTTCTAATGTTTTCCCAACTGATGTCAATTCATGATGAACACTAGCCCAAATTCAAATTTATCTACTGAGATACTTGCATGTTTAACACAAAATTTCACTAAGTTCATTCTTAGAAGAAAAGTTACCAGTTCAGGTAGCGTAGATAAAGACTGCAAACAGTTGGAATATACTCATCAGCCTACCTGAATGATAAATACTGAAGTACTGTTAAGTTACGAAGTGTGAGACATATGCCCAAACAACAAAGCCAAATATAAAACGAAATTAAAACAGGATATGAATATTTTGCGATTAACAAATAAAACAAGTTACATGACTGAAGCAATCAAACATGAAAATCTGAATACATGAAAAAATGCATCACATGGAAAGTACATTAATTCCGCATAAATACTACAGAACTTGAAAGGCGTTAGAGTTCTGCTAGATAATTTCGTAGTCCACAACCCCTGTTGGATAAAATGAACGCCAGCTATTTGTGCTAAACTATTTAAAGTGAAAATAAATACTATGGAGATATTAGCAGTGAGCCTTCATGACAGCGATGAAACTAACATAAATGAGAACTTCCAAACCCAGTAACATACTTTGACAATCATATTCCTTCAAAAAATATTACCACTTCTCCACCATTGTCGAAAAAACCTTAGCTTTATGATGGACTTTCAAGGCTTGCTTCACGTAGTAAATTTGCATAATACACATACCCAACCTTAAACATCTGTCTCGCTGAAAAGTAGGCGATTCCAACTGGAAATAGAAATAATAATGGTCAGTTTTTCCAGATGATTTTTTCAAAACAATATGCAATTCTCAGCACTCAGTATTGAAGGGAATTACCACTTATTGAGTATTTTTCAGCAAAATAACTGATCAACCACTCGAGAATAACTTACTTCATGTTGTCAATTCCTAAGTGTTGATTTAATCCTATCGATTATTTTGTAACGTGGTCATTAGGCTGCGAGACTTATCATCAAAGTGCACTTTGATTGGTGTCAGGTGGTTGAAGGCGATCTTCAGAAAGCCCTGTAGCTGGATTCCTTGCTCGCTGGCAGTTACCACCAAGGTGTATCTGAAACTTCAAGGGAATTCAGACCTCTTGAAACCATATCAGCCAGAGTTTCGTCAACACTCAACGACAAATAACATGAGATTGGTTTCTCCCCTGTGACCGATCAATAAACCTCATCAACCTTCAAAGAAGTGCGAAATTTGCCAGAACAACTCAGTCACAAAGTCACTGGCTGCAAAACTGGGTGTTGCCAGTTAGAATCCTTCAGGCAACCATAGTTTCCTCTAGGTCCCAGAACCGCCTTGCTGACAAGAGCCAATAAGCATGAAACAGAGGACCAGAGCTTCCTGCCAAATGTCTCCAACCAAATGACATCGAAGTGTCTAAAGCACCTCAATAGTCTTGATATTACCTGGAATACTTTGTTATGACCAGGTATTGTTAGTTTATTGTTTGATTTGAACACGATAGACAAATCGAAAAGTGTGTATACGTTTGGTGGTGCTAGTTTACTCAGTCAGTACGAAAATCTGCAGTTTGATCTAAATATTTCAGAAATAGTTACATGATGTGTCCTTGCTTATTCAGTATCTCATTGCCATTTACCATGATGGAGTTTTTGCAATATGATGGCTAACTTACCTAATGGTAGGTTGAAAACACCTTTAAAAGGCACGAGAATACAACATACAACGTGACGAAATAACTGAATGATAAAAACAAGTTCTAAGGAGAAATCTGATGTTATACTTGTGGTTCAAGTTTTCTGTCTAGCACTTTTGAATCTAATAATGTTGTCCAACAAATCACGCAATGTGGTGCAGGCATAATTTTTTCCTAAAAAAACCATAATGGTTTTTCACTACTAGGCTACGCTCATTTGTGCTCTTCACTACTAAAACACTGAGAATTTATCAGACACATACACCAAAAGTGGACTGTTTATCCAGATAAGTACAGATAATTCGATCCTGTCAGTTGGTGAATAATAAAATATGATTCATACTCCAGTATGTTTAAACTATAAAGTAATGATGTATCTATGAATACTTGGATCACAAAAGTAAATGAATCTACTGAAATTAAAAATCATTATATTTTAGTCAGCAACAAGCAAATCTATATTCTGCTTTTTATTTTCAAAGTGTTTTGTGGGAGTTATGTATTTGCTTGTAAAGAGAAATGTCACAAAGGAGTAAGTGTAGTTCAAAATTGTCGGTTATACGTTTAAGTATACAACCGATAATCCCTATCTAGTTTAAACAAGAAAATCTCTGGTCGTAAAGATACTGACAATCAGATAACAGTTTGATGTATTAATTAATCCTTACTCGTTAACTTCAACTTTTTTTAGTCTTCATGCCTAAAATTCTGTTTCACTTTATATCATGATTGATTTCATTTTTATAAGAAAGTTATTTCACTTGAGCAATTTTTATTTAACACGAAATAAAATGAGTTGAGGAACTACGAAAAATAACGATTTTCCCCACAGATTTTTCTTTAGCCCCTCAATATGACAGACACTTTATGTATCAAAGATTAGAAAACATCAGACCATCACTACCATCCTGAATTGCAAACCATTTCCGTCATTTCAGAACTACTTTTGGCGTTTGTATTTCTTGATGAGTAAAAAAACAAAACGACGCTGTTTTTCCTGATATTTGCTACTTCTTGATGAAAGCTTTATCAAAGTAATGGTAAATCAAGAACAACAATTACGAAGTCTGTTTATGATAGCTCTTTTAAAGCTCTTGTGTTTGGATTTCTAGTGAATAAGTAGTCGGTAAAACTAGATGATAAAGTCAAAAACAAGATTGAAAGAGACCTAAACAGCGCTGTGAAATCATGAAATATAACAATAGTCACCTAATATAGATCACACAAAAATTGGATAAGATAAGAAACTCCTTGAATATATATATTATCAGAGTATTCAGTAGAAGATCAATGAGATTACAGAGTACAAAAAGTCATTGTACAACAAATTTTCTCAGATTTCACTACCTAATTATGCTCATGTAATAGAATACTCAGTACGTAATGCAATATACACAGGTCAGATCTGAAGTTAAACCAAGTTTCGAAACATGTTAATGGAAGATCATCGTATCGAATCCAGGAAGTTCAATAAAGCTAGAAAAGTTTGAAAACACTTCAAACGTAGCTCTACATGGTAAAATTTTCGATCATATGATCGAACATATAAAGTAAATTTCATAGCATAGTCTCAAT